CAAATCATGGGTAGCAACCCATTAGCTGATCCTGAAGTCAGTTTACTGTTAGTTACCAACACTAAGAAATGAAATGGAATAAAGCAAATAGAGTGTATTCCCTTCATGTGGTTAAGTGTTTTCTGACAGTTTTGTTGCAATAAAGTGTATGTAAACATATTGGTCAAATCCATTCTATCGGCTGGTGCCGTGGCTCACTTGACTAATCTTCCACCTGCGGCGCTGGCACCCTGGGTTCCAGTCCCAGTTGGGGCACCAGGTACTAATCCGGGTTGCTCCTCTTCCAGTCCAGCTCTCTGCTGTGGCCCGGGAGGGCAGTGGAGGATGGCCCAAGTGCTTGGGGTCCCTGAACCCGCATGGGAGAGCGGGAGGAAGCATCTGGCTCCTAGCTTCGGATTGGCGCAGCGACCCCGTAGTGGCCATTAGGGGAGTGAACCAGCAGAAGGAAGACCTTTCTCTCTCTCTCTCACTGTCTATAACTCTATCTCTGTCTCTCTCTCTCACTGTTTAACTCTGCCTGGCATAAAATTAAAAAGACATCCATTCTATCTCCAAGAAACACCAGAACCATCTTTCTAAAGACACTCCTAAACAAGTCGGTTTTGGCTTCAAGCTTTTCTCCAGGTTCCCGTCACAGGCAGAATAAAGTCCTAATTTCTTCAGTGTTGTTTCAGATCCCCTACCCAGCAGCTCCTCATGGTACTCCTAATTGTCAGAAAGTGACATCTCCATCTGCTCTGTGCTCAAGCTCAAACCCATGCAGTTCTTGCAGGCTACTCCTTTCCCAATCCACCTTCAGTTCTTGCCTCTTACCTGATCTGTATTAAAATTCATGACTTCAGAGCAGCCTTTTCTAGCCCCTCAGTCTAGATCAGCCTCTAAATCCACTGCTAAAAGCCCTAAACAGCACTCTGGCCTCAGAATCAGCCCTTAAGGCATGCGGATCCGGCTGAAAAGCCCATAAGAGTATTTCAGGCATGGAAAGCCAAGACACTCTGGCAAAAAATAACCTAAATGAAAGATGTCTGTGAGTGAGATCCCAGTGGAAAGAATGGGCCATCAAAGAAGGTACCTTTCTCTGAAGGGAGGAGAGAACTTTACTTTAATTATGGCTTTGTCTAAATAAGGTCAGAGTTTGAACTCAAGAGGCTTCCATAGCCTTGGCAGATCAGGACAAGAGCCTCAAGTGATTATTGACATCATAAATAAGAGTGTCAATTGTTAACAACAGGAGTCACTGTGCACCTGCTCCCCATGTAGGATCTCTGTCCTTAATGTGTTGTACTTTGTGAATTAACAGTATAACTAGTACTCAAACAGTACTTTATACTTTGTTTTTGTGTGGGTGCAATCTGTTGAAGTCTTAGTGTATACTAAGTTGATCTTCCGCATATAAAGATAATTAAAAATGAATCTTAATGAAGAATGGGATGGGAGAGGGAGTAGAAGATGGGATGGTTTGTGGGTGGGAGGGTGGTTATGCGGGGAAAACTGCTAATCCAAAAACTGTATTTTTGAAATTTATATTTAGTAAATAAAAGTTTTCTTTAAATCTGCTAGTACACATTGCCCCTTTTATATTTTTGACGGTCCAACTGGAGTTCTTTATTTTTGCAAATGTGCCTAGTATGTGTCTCATCAGCCTGTGTATGAGCTCCACTGGGGGTGGGGGGCAGAAACCGGGACCCAGTCATTGTCTGCAATATCACTGCGGTTCTGGGATGTGCTGAAATAGGCAACAGTAATTGTCAGCAGAGTCCTTGAACTAAACTTTGTTGTTTCCCTAATGGTTGCTTCTACCTTTTTGTCATGCTATCTGCCTTTTTATTCTCTGCCTAAAATAAATTGGTCAAAAAATCTCTTTGGAAGATTTTTCATAAAGGGACTGAAATCTTAATGCCCTTGACCTAAGTTCATACCATAGCCTTTTTTTTTTTTAAAAGATTTTTTAGTGATTTGAAAGACAGTTATAGAGAGGTAGAGACAGCAAGGTCTTCCATCTGCTGGTTCACTCCCCAGATGGCCTCAATGGCCGGAGTTGTTCCGATCAGGAGCCAGGAGCAGCTTCTGGGTTTCCCACGAGAGTGCAGGGGCCCAAGGACTTGGGCCATCTACTGCTATTGCAGGCCATAGCAGAGAGCTGGATTGGAAGAGGAGCGGCTGGGACTAGAACCCGCGCCCATATGAAATTCTGGCGCTTCAGGCCAGGGCTTTAACTCGCTGTGCCACAGCGCTGGCCTCACCACAGCCTATTTATTCACAGTATTGTAGTAACTTCTATTGCCTGTTAGAATATGAACCTCCTCAGGGCAAGAATGTACTTATGCTTTTTGTCTCCTCAACTCCTAACACATACTAGGTATATATAGTTATCCATAAATGCTTGTTAAATGATTGAATAAACAAAAGAAAATAGATCAAGTAAGATGATTGTGATTAAATTGAGAGTAAATAACATTGTCAATTTATTGGAGCAGATAATTACAGTGCATGTATGATTTTTAGAACAGTGTGCATGTGGGGTGGGGATAAAAGTATAATTATTCAGTTTAAAATACTTCAATTTCTAAATGGATCATTTTGAATATCAAGCTGTCAGTGCATTTAGTTATAATGGATCATATTTCATTTCCAAGTGACTTCTTCAGAGGAGAATTTTCAGGAAAAGTAGAACAGTGTTAAAAGTGAATAAATGTAGATGCCAATGACTTTGGGGGGACCACATGACAGAATGGCATGGGGTTTGCATTTCTTTATGTGAGACATGAATGTATATATATTATGTTTCCCTCTGGATTCATAAATACATGATTTATTTTTTAATAAGTCTCCTCACTTTTTGTTACCTTAAATCACCAAACTGGAAGGAAGCCAAATGAATTAGAAACAAAGCTTCAAAAAATTCTTGGAAAATTCAACTGAGGGGTGTTTGTTTTGGCACAGCTTTTAAAACTCAATTTTTTTTCATAATATACATTTTCCATGAACCATTTGAAGACTTCTTGTGTGCATGGATTCTGAAAATGTTTGTACCAAAATAAGCACTTTTTAATGCCATTTCTATGAATTTCTTGAAGTACTGTCATATTTTCCTATCTATCTTTTCATCTTTTATTAAAAGGCCCTTTCATCTATTAGCAGAACTTAGCTGTAGGGGGTTTTTAACCTGGGGAGAGGCAAATGCAGAGAAGAGGTCTCTGAATCACTTAACTGCCACTTTCTTATCAGAGTGTGATAGGAGAAGAAAATGTGGATCTAGGTTAGCTTATCTCACCTGATTTCAGAATGTCAGGAAGATTCTCTGTTGCACAATCTCTCCTCTGAGGTAAATAAACTTCTCCTTTCACATAAGCCCTGACTTAAACACAAAAACTAGGCTCTGACCATTTGTGTTCCTGTCATTGCATCAGGATGGATGTCCTAAGGATTGGAAGTCTGTTAAAAACTTATTCATTTGCAAAGTAGAGTTAGAGAGAAAGTGCTGGTTCACTCCCCAGATGATGGAAGAAGCCTGGAGCCTAGAGCTCCATTGGGTTTCCCACATGGGTGGTCGGGTCTCAGGTACTTGGGTCCATCTTGCTGTTTTCCCAGTATGTTATCAGGGAGCTGGATTGGAAGTTGAGCATCCAGGACTTGAACTGGTGCTCATATGGGATGCCAGCATTGTAGGTGGCCAGTTAAAGTGCTGTACTGCACTACTGGCCCCTTGAGTGGGAACCTTGGTAGAAGACGAATGACAGGGCTTTGTAGACAACCTCAAGCAGTATGAGGAAATGGGTGTTCCTCTGTGATGGGATGCTCTGTTCCTTGGCGACCAAGACAGACCAAGAGGTGGGCAGTGAGTAGAAAAGGATTGGGAAAGGGTGTGGATATCCATGTTTGTCTAGTTAAGGTCACCTGAATGAACTCTCCAGTGATCTAATGGAGGTGAAAGGGGATAGACTTATTTTCAAATGAAAAATAAGCAATGATGTTTGTTTATAATTCAATAAATTAAACTGCAGTAATTTTAGGGAAACAAAGCCACCTCAAAAGTAGTCTTTGCTGGACACCACACTGAGATCAGTGAATCTTCTGCCCCGGAGAATCTGCTTTCTGGACAGACACTGGTGTCCCTAAGATAGGGCCAGAAGGAGGCTATTCTAAGTGGGTGGCTGGTGGTGGTAGCTGTGGGGCTTCATGGGCCTTCTCCCAAGATGCCCAGGTTTTGGAGGGAGAGCGCTGGCACGTCTGACTGTTGTGCTCTCCAGTTCTGTGATTCTTGTGACTTGCTCTCAATTTGTATATGATGACAGTCTAAGAAGAAACAAGAACTAGGGGTCTTGCTATTATGTTTTATCAAGATCTTCAGACATTGAGAGAGCTTTTCAGTGTCTCGGTTTTTTAAATCTGGTGGATAAGGATAATTTTAGTCTTATGATGTTGCTGCAAGAATTAAATGTCACCAGGCATCAGGCATTTTCAACAGAGGGAGGTACATAATGAAATATTAGCTAGGACAAAGACTGACAATGACAAATGACTGTTGGGTGTGAGACTGTTTAAGCCACCTTGTTTAATTCTCAAAACCATTGTTTTTTATGTAAGTACTTTGAACCTGTTTTACTCGAAGACATACAAGTAGCCAACTCCAGAGCAAATGGAGATTCAAACGTGGGTTAGTTGGGCACCAAGGCTCCCCTGAGTTTGCCCACCTTTGAAGTCCCATGTGCATTTCTTAACTGGAACCTCTAAAAGCTTTGACTGTTGTATTCCTAGAGCGGTTCTGAAAGCTCCCACTATATTCCTATCGCAGCTTGCCTGGAGCTTTCTTGAGAATTTTCCCACATCCCGATTTTATTATTTTTTTTTCTTTCAGCAAACGTTCCCCTGTCAATCCCTCCTTCAGTGTAACCTTGTTAGCTTTGAGGACACACCCCTGGCTAGGCCTGGCTTACAGAGCTGTGTCTCTCCGCCCCTTTCCTCTACTTTGGTTTAAAGTGTCACCAGATGCCTCTGGCACTCTCCCTTTGCATTTAGCCCTCACAGGGGCAGGAGGAACGAAGGCTGGACCCAGAACTCGTAGTCCTAGGGTGATAGTGAAGGGGTCCCGGGGAGCAGTGACTCCCCTCCCACCCCATTTTCCACTGGCGCCTGAAGAAAACCAGCTGGGAAAATGAAGAACTGCTGGTAAGACCATGATGTTGGGAAGAGTGGTGGGGAGATAAGGCTGTGGTCTATCAGAACCAAAGTTCTGTGTTTTTTGCAGTGAAGAGGTGAGGAGAGAAGTGACAAACGGTGAGAGCAGGGAAAGAAAGAGATGAGAGAGCAGGACAAGAGAGTATGCGTGAGAGACAGAAAAAGCAGTGATGGAGACAGCCATAGGAAGAGAAAGGCAGAAAATCTAAGATAAAACAGATAAGGAATTAAGTACAAAAACAATGAGGTAGGTAATGTGAAAGGGAAGTTGATAATCTATTAGATAACGGAAATGGGTAAAAATTCATTAAACATCTCAGGCTTCAAAGTCAAAATAAAGACGATATTGGGATTTGAACACCTAAATTAATAAGGTTTATCAGGCTTAAAAATATGAAGGCAGCTCCTATCTGAGGAACTCCTTTTTGAATCATGTTTGCTTCTGTCCTCTTCAGGAAAATTCCAGCTTTCTTCTTCATCTGCAGTTTCCTGGGACCCTGGGCATCTGCGGCAGTCAAGCGTCGCCCAAGTAAGAGCTATAATTTCTGGATTCTGAAATAATTCCTTGTTTCCAGAAATGACCAGATAGGGCTGTGGCTAAGTGAAGACTAAATGGGGTTCACTTTTCATTCCTGCCTTGAGCCGTGGGCATACCCCAGTGAATGGTTTTCTGAGGCCAATGTTGGCTATGGGAAGGAAGTCCTGGTTGTGATGACTGTTAGCAGAAAGACTGATCTGTTTGTTCCAGTGCTTAGCACAGTGGCTGGTTCCTATGGTGACTGGCTTCCTATAATGATTGATTCCTATAGTGATCCAAATGTTGGATGGATAGATGGATAGATGGACGGACTCCAAAAATCTGGAGTTAGGGGAGGTGAAGAGTATATATCACAATGACTAGGCCAAATCATGTAACTGGAAAATGCTTTTTCTGAAACTTAGGAAGTCTTTAACATTAGGTGAGTCTCAGAAAAGCACTGAGTTTGGACAGTTACAAGAAGCCTTCTTTGGTGGTGAAGAATGGTTTCTTCCCTACAAGCTGCCATGTATAAGGAGCTCCCAACTCTAGCTACAGATTTCTCATACTGAGGGTTTATTTCTTTTTATGATTATTTTCTTCTCATTACTCTTCTAAATTCTATGGTTCTAGCAGTAATCTAAATGGAACCTTTATTCTCTTAAAATGAATTAATAAACTTAAATGAATTCTTTCCATTTTAACTAGTGTTAGTGAATCCAAAGATTTCCCCAGCCACCTCCTGTATTTGCAAATAGACCCAAGAACTCTACTCTCCAGAAGCCCCATTGAATTGGTTCAAAGTTGGCTCTGGATTTGTGGTGTTTGAGGAATATTTTCTCGCCCAAACCATGAGAAGTTTTCCAGACAGGCTTCTAACCCTGTGCCATTCAGGACATTGTACAATTCTGGTTCCAAAAGGAACAGATTCTTGATCTCTCAAATGAGTATTTTCCCAGCACACAGTATAAAAGCAATTTTGTGCCTTGTATCTATTGCAGGATGATTTGAAGATGAAAGAAAGAAACATAATTTTAGAGGAACAGAATTAAATCCAAATATACTACTGATAAGCAGTCTGGTATAATCCCATATTTTAAATAGTTACTCAGTTGTTATTGGTATATCTTGCCATCTCTGTACTGGCATGAAGTAGGATGACATACTATCTCTTTTGCAGGATTTCCTGTCAATTCAAATTCTAATGGTGGAAATGAACTCTGTCCAAAAGTCAGGATTGGTCAAGATGATTTACCTGGCAAGTAGCAAGTATCATATTGAAAATGCATGCTTTTTATAACCTGATGTATTTTTCACAACTTTCCCAAATAAAAGAATATAACCAATCTCATTTTCGGACTTTTCACTTGTATTCCCTTTCAATAGGGTTTGACCTGATTTCTCAGTTCCAGATAGATAAAGCAGCATCTCAAAGAGCTATCCAGAGAGTAGAGGGATCAACTACATTACAAGTGGCTTACAAGTTGGGAAGTAATGTAGACTTCAGGATTCCAACCAGGTAATATACTTCAAAAGCATTTTTTATAATGGATAATTATCCAGGATTAGGAAATTTTCTCATGCTCAGTGTTTCTTGGCTTGTGATTTTATTTAAAGATGAAGGAATTTATTCACTTACCTACTGCTCTTTATGTTTTCAACATGTAATTTACTTTCCATTGCAGTTTTTTTTTTTTTTAAAAAAACATTACTGAGACTATTATACATTGATTCAGGATATGTTCTTACTGCTTGCTTTCTGTTTTCCTATAATTTGTCTGGTTTTGACTGAAAGGACCCTCTGTGAAAAATACCAGAGGTTAAGCATAAATTTAACTAGGAGCCACAGAGTGGTTAAAAGACTCACAATGGTGCTGTTCAAGTACTCTGGTGCTGAAACAGAAATAGACATCCAGTGCTTGGCTCCTGGCAGACACAGAATAAAAGCAAAGCTAAAATTGTGATAACAGAAAAAAAATGAGTAATAATAATTACCCCAACCACTTTACTGTTCTCCTTCTTGGAAGCTAAGCCTTTAATTCCTTAGATTATTTACAACTGAGGTACGTTATGTGTAAATATTAAGTCGTGCTATCATCATGAATGAGCTTCAGTGGTTTAGTATTTCTATCACCTTCATGCCTTATTTGTGTCTTCTGATTATTTCATTTTACCATACCAAAAAACAAACAGTTCAGCCTCCTTTGATAAACAAGAAAATTAGGACTGGGATAGAAATTAAGGTAAAAAAGTAAAGAATAATTAATGTTCTCATAATCTCAATAAAAGAATATTATAGAAACCTAAACTTCCATAAAAGAATTTTAATCAAATTAGAATCTGCTATAATATAGTGCCATAGTGTAGACAGAAATAAATATTTTGAATGTACTATATATTAATACATTGTTTTTATGAGTTTACTAATATAAATCTCATTATTATAACCCTGTGATATAGGGAAATTATTAACCTTATTTTTGGGCAATAAAGCAGACATATAAAATGCTTAATTTACTTGCATAAGATCACAGGGTTGGGATGTGAATTGAATTCCAGGTAGAATGGTCTCAGAAGTTGTGCTTCTAACGACTACTTGATACTATTTCTGGGAAAACCATTCACATTTTGCAAGAATAAGGGCATGAAAATGGCTATAATGACTTTATTTCTTATTGTTTCTTATGTACAGAAGTTCTAGTTGTGCTTTTAAATAAGCTTTACAATTTTTGTTTTTTTACTTTAATAAAATTATTAAAATTAGAACCCCAGTGGTGATATAATTTTCTGATTGAGGGACCATCAGGACTGTCAATTTTAAGTTTACAGATTGACCAACTTAAGGCCTAACAATCTCATCTTTGGTTTTTCTCTAAGTGTCTAGGGCTATCACTAAGTACTATGCAAAGGCAATAAAACTAATGTCTCATAGTCACTATATTTGACTACCTGGTCCCATGAAGATCAGAACTCAAGTTTTCTTGTCTAAATTTATCAAAAGATGAGGGAAGAAGAATAAAAGAATTAGGAAAAATGAGAAAGAAATAAAAAGAGGGGGAAGGAGAGGGCATTTGACCTAGCAGTTAAGGTGCTGATTAAGACACCTATGTCCCACATGGGAGTTCCTGGATTTGATTCCCAGCCCTGGCTACTAGATTATTGCTAATGCATACCTGGGAAATGGCAGGTAATGGCTCAAGTGCCTGAGTCCCTGCCACACATGTGGAAGACTTGTTTTGAATTGCTGGCTCTTGACTTCAGCCCAGCCCAGTCATAGCTGCTATAGGCGTTTGGGGAACGAATCAACAGATGGCAGATGCTTTGCCTTTCCCCATCTCTGTTTCTCAGCGTCTCTCTGTCTCTGTCTCTTTCTAGTTATTTCAAGAGGTAGATAGGAGGAGAAGGAGGAGAGTTAGAAGGCTGAGATACATAAAATACCAAATGGATTGTAAAGTCTATTCTTGGGAAAGTTACTTAAGCCATCTTTGCTTCACTTCTCAGTTTAAGATTAGAGATGATAGAAACAATGGAGTCACTGTTAATAAGTGAAGAGTATTCAAATGTAGTCTTGCATACAGTGGTGTTCAGTGATGACTACCTATGTTAGAGAGCACCAGATAGGAGCATGTACACGAACGAGTCTTTTTCCTTAGTGGATCCTTTACTTTCAGGGGTTGTCCAAGCAGAGAGTTAGGGATTGGAATTGTTCTCAGGCCATACATGGAGTAGACAACTGTCATTCTAAAAGACCTCCTAAGGCTCTAAGACAGTAGGAGAAAAAAAAAAAAAAAACTAATAACAGGAGTCCCTCACGAGAAAGAAGACCCATGGTATAGGAAACCAATGTGATAGTCAAAATTTATTACTTACCTTTTCAATCTTTTTCTGATACCTTATTTTTTCATGTTGCTGCATTTTAGTACAAATTGAATCTATGAACAGATTCAATACAGTTCATAGATAGAATTCTAAGAATATAATGATATTCCCTTCCTGTCTCTGACATCTCATTCCTCTCCCTTTCTTTCAATTTTAATTTTTTTTTAAATTGAGTTTTTTGTTAGTTTGTTTTTACAGTTTTTTTTTTTTGTTTAGGCACAATGGTTTCACCTTCTTAGCCACTTAAAACATGTTAAGTTTGTTTGTCAAAAAAAGCCCCTAACTTTGTTTGTGTTAAGTTCATTAGGAAACCTTTCAAAGTCCAAGGACTTCTAAAGCTTTTATTCAAACCCTGTAGCTCTCCATTTTAGGTACTCTGTGCAGATTTTAATATAATGAAATAAATCATTCATAGATCCAACTTTTAAATCGTGTATGCTGTCAAGTTTACTTACAGTGTGCATAGCATATTTGCAAGAACAGAATTTCAAGTGTTCAAAACAGACCATGAGGCTGCCTGTACTATAAATTGGAGTTGTGAAAGTGTTACATGACTCTAGGGATACACAAATACATGTGTTTTATTAATGCAGACAACAAAATGAATTTTCTGCTTTTACATATTGACATGCTGTGCTAACCTAATTTGAAAGGTGAATATGATTATGATCATGTGTGTATAAACATATGTACACACATACTTGCAGAAATACTTGGAAAATTTTATGGGAAATGTCATTAAAGGTAAATTTATTTTGAAATTACATAAAATTTTAAAACCATGCAGAGTTTTTTCATAATATGCATTTTAATGCACTTTTTGAAGACCACTTTTGTACATGGATTTTCAAAATTTTTTTGCACTTAATCCAATTCTATAAATTTTTTAAGTATTCATATATTCAAAAGGTTCATGGAAAGTAAGTGTGTGTGTGTGTGTGTGTGTGTGTATAATCTTTATCTTTAGGAAGAGATGGACAGATATTCTTGGCTTAACAATATGACTATAGACGAGATTCTTTTAGTAACCCCACATGCGTCACTGTCTTTAACTTTTATATTTTTAGTTTTTGGCATTACATACTGTAAATCAGAGGTAAATGGAGATATGTTCTATTTTTTTAAAGATTTTATTTATTTATTGGACAGGTAGAGTTACAGACAGTGAGACAGAGAAAGGTCTTCCTTCCATTGGTTCACTCCCCAAATGGCCGCTATGGCTGGTGCTGCGCTGATCAGGAGCCAGGTGCTGCTTCCTGGTCTCCCATGTGGGTGCAGGGGCCCACGCACTTGGGCCATCTTCTACTGCTATCTGAGGCCATAGCAGAGAGCTGGATTGGAAGAGGAGCAGCTGAGACTAGAACCAGCACCCATATGGGGTGCCGGCACCGCAGGCGGAGGATTAACCCAGTGCACCACGGCGCCGGCCCTGATATGATCTATTCTGCCTTCAACATATTGCCTCAATTCATTGAGTCAGTTGGACGAAGCATAGAGTGGGATGTATCTACATAGGTGTCACCTAAGCATGGTACTGGGACTTCTGTAATAAAGACAGAAAATAGATTTTTTTAAAGATTTGAGAGGCAGAGTTACAGATAGAGAGGCAGAGAAGTCCCCAAATGGCTGCAGTTGCTGGGGCTAAGCCGATCTGAATCCAGGAGCTTCTTTCAGGTCTCCTACATGAGTGAAGAGGCCCAAACACTTGGGCCATCTTCTCCTTTCCAAGGCCATTAGCAAGGGACTGGATTGGAAGTGGAGTAGCTGGGACTCAAACAGGAACCCATACTGGATGCTGGTGCTGCAGGTGGAGGTTTAACTTATTATGCCACAGTGTTGGCCCTGTTCTTTATTTTTATTTTTTTAATGGACTGAACAAATTCTATGATTTTATTCAGTATATCTGTAGATACACAGGTAAGAAACAGACATTTTTTAAGTCTAGAAAAATAATTCTTAAACTTCATATTTTACCTTCATCTTCCTTTCACAAAAACTTCATGCCTCAAAAACACTGATCATGAATAAAGGCAAATCCACATCATTATTTAAAAGAATGAACAAAAGAACCTATTTATAATTTAAATGGATACTTGCTGAATATTATCTTTGAGTAAAGCTTCAAAAACTTATCTCCTAGTTCCAAATTTTTTGAAGTCAGTTAAATGAGATGTATAAACTTTCTTAAGGCTTTACAATTATGCAATAGGCAGTATATTGTCAATAGGAAATCTTAGTTGTTTTTCCCTAGAGTTATGGAATGGCAATGATTTAGAAAAAGTCAAAGGAAATATGACAAAGCAATAGAAAAACAGAATATATATTAATAAGTACTTGGAGCTATGTGGCAGACAGTTATATTCTTGAAAACAGGACAGTAGGTGGTTCTTCAACTCTAAACAATATTTTTAAAAGTACATGTTTAAACTTCTGGCACATTTGACAGATATTAGTGAACTGAAAAATTTGCAGTAAGAATAATGCATATCATCAGTTATATGATCCAGTACCAAAAATACAAACCAAAATGTTCTATAATAGTGACAAAGTAGGACTTGGATGATCAGAGTACTGATAAAAGGTTTCACATTTTTGTTACCTTTACAAAATCAACAAAACAGTGAAATTTGTTGAAATGATTGACCCCAATTTATTGAAAGTCTATGAAAACAGTTGCAGAAAAATAAAACTTTATCAGTTTATAAAGTTTCAATAACAAAGTAAAGATAGAATATCTTAGTAAATTGAGTAGTTGCATTCATTGCTACATATCCTTGGAACTCAACAGTTTTCTGGTGTGGGAAGTCTTGAACCCAACAATATATGTAACTGGCAAAAACATGTATGCCAATACAACATATTTGTATATTTTTTTAAAGAATTATTTATTTGAAAGGCAGAGGTACAGAGGGAGAAGGAGAGACAGAGATAGAAAGGGAAAGAGAAATCTTCCATCTGTTGGTTCACTACCCAAATAGCCACGACATCTGGGGCTGGGCCAGGCCAAAGCCAGGAGCCCAGACCTCCTTTCAAGTTACCCATGTCAGCGTAGAGGCCCAAGTACTTGAGGCCATATTCTGCTGCTTTTCCAGGTGTGTAACAGGGAGCGTAATTGGAAGTGGAGCTGCCAGATTTCAAATTGGTGTCCATATGGGATGCCAAAATTGCAGGTGGAGGCTTACCCTGCTATGCCACAACACCTACCCCATATTATTTTTAGTTTGTAACAAATTAAATCAACACAGTTTTAATTTAGATATTCTTCTTGCCTTTCTCTTAACTCATGAGAAAGGGGCTGCGGGACGAGTTTAACCTGGAGGAAGATTATTTGGGACTCCAACTGTCCTGGTCTATAACTGTTTTTAGGAAGATAAAATTTTACTATTTAGCAAGCACAATTCTTTTTTTAACTTTTATTTAATGAATATAAATTTCCAAAGTATAGCTTATGGATTACAATGGCTTCCCCCCCATAACTTCCCTCCCACCTGCAGCCCTTCCCTTTCCTGCTCCCTCTCCCCTTCAATTCACATCAAGATTCATTTTCATTTCTCTTTATATACAGAAGATCAGTTTAATATATATTAAGTAAAGATTTTAACAGTTTGCACCCACATAGAAACACAAAGTGAAAAATACTGTTTGAGTACTAGTTATAGCATTAAATCAATGTACAGCACATTAAGGACAGAGATCCTACATGAGGAGTAAGTGCACAGTGACTCCTGTTGTTGACTTAACCAATTGACACTCTTGTTTATGACATCAGTAATCACCCTAGGCTCTTGTCATGAGTTGCCAAGGCTATGGAAGCCTTTTGAGTTCACTGACTCTGATCATATTTAGACAAGTCGTAATCAGAGTGGAAGTTCTCTCCTCCCTTCAGAGAAAGGTACCTCCTTCTTTGATGACCTGCAAACACAATTCTTGGCATTTAGTTTTCCTAGCCTCCTTGGTCAGGAATTTTTCTATACTTAGGAGGAAAAAGGGATAAGTAGAAAATCTTCAAGTCTTTGAAAGGTGGTGCTTACATTTAAAAGGCCTCAAATTAAAAAAAAAAAACTCAGTATTCAGCTTTTAGCAACTTACTGTCAACAGAAGATCCAGGTAGCTGGTACAGCTCCAGGTTAGGATTTACAGACAGGCGATGCCTTAGGAACACTACTTGGCCTAACACTACCATTTAAGGGAGGTAGAAATGATGCAGCCTTAGTTGGCAGACTGAAGAATAACTGAGTTGGAGTAGTGAAGTAAGAATTGATCACTTTTCCCTAGTTACAATCCAGTGACAAGCAAACGGATGCCATTTTAGCATCATGCCTTAACTCCCCAGAAAAGGCAAACATCTTCGGTCTGAATAAGTTTCTAAATAGTCAGCATAGCTAGTGATTCTCAAAGTATGTATGTGGGCCTGAGATATAGTCATAGAAGGAAATACCCCAGCAATCATGGGAGTAAGAAATATTCTATTAAAATTAAAAAGTAAAAATAGTTTCATAAACGAGTAGAGTTTATTTGGATTCCAGATGATCTCCTGTCTTCCTTGTGAATGAGATGCTGCCAAGGCCTTTGCAGGAATGTGTCTTTTGGCTGAGAGGGAATTGCTGAACAGTAGCTCTTTGGGGAGCATAAATAGTAACACTGATGGGATTATGCGGCCTTGGGAGTCTTCCTTACCTATGAGGGAGGAGTTTTAAAAATATGTATTTGAACACAGGGCATTAATGTACGTGAATGAACTATGAAGGTCTGTATGAAGTCATGAAAGAACAAACAGTACACAGTTTTTCACACTGTAGCCTCTCTGTAGGTCTGGAATCTAAAATAGCATGATGGGGAAAAGGGTAAGTAAATGTGCATGAGTACAGAAAACAAGATTTCCATTCATTCTTTCTACCCAGGCATTTATATCCCAGCGGACTGCCTGAAGAATACTCCTTTCTAACTACTTTCCGGATGACTGGAAGCACACTTGAAAAGAACTGGAGCATTTGGCAGATTCAGGATTCCTCAGGGAAGGAGCAAGTTGGTGTGAAGATTAATGGCCAAACCAAATCGGTTGCATTTTCATACAAGGGACTGGATGGAAGCCTCCAAACTGCAGCTTTTTCAAATTTGCCCTCCTTGTTCGATTCTCAGTGGCATAAGATCATGATTGGCGTGGAAAGGAGTAGTGCTACTCTTTTTGTTGACTGTGTCAAAATTGAATCCTTACCCATTAAACCAAGAGGCCAAATTGATGTCGATGGCTTTGCTGTGCTGGGAAAACTTGCAGATAATCCTCAAGTTTCTGTTCCAGTAAGTATAAAACCACACATGATGGCATAGAACAAAACCAGATTCCTAAAAATCAAACATCTTTGATTACTAACAAGTTACTCATTTAAAAAATTTACTCACTATTCAAAATGATTTCAGTTCTATTTTGGACATGACGTGTACCAAATGGAATGTGAAATTAGAGGAAGGTAAGCAGATAGCCCCCAGTCTTGGAACTTAATGGGTATTTCTCATTTCCCCTTGTTATGCTTCTTAGATTCTAAATCCAGCACCCATTTGAGGCAACTTAAAAAGAAACCTATTCTGATGTGGCACATATCCTGTATGTGTAGGTAATCATAATAGTCCAAGGTTAAGAAGAGTGGTGGATTCTGTTAGTGAAGAACTCCATGCTTCTTGGAAGCATTGAACTTTGATGTGCAAGGATTTTCATTTGCAAAAGAGGAGGAGAAAGTGTATTCTAACCAAAGGAAAGATCATTAAGGGAAAAAGGATGGAATAAGTAGGCCACATTCAAAATTCCTGAGATGGGCTGATTTGGATGATTAATGTTTATGCAAATCTGACTGTGGAAGGGAGTGAGGGATACTAAGAGCATAGTGGTACTAGATGAGATTAGGAAGCCATATGATACCTGATCAATAAGAATGAAAATTGTATACGTAACATAGCGCTTATTTCTTTAAAAGTACATGACTCAGAGTAAAGGATTTTAAAGCTCTGTTCATGATTTTACTACAGGGATCCGTGGAAACAAAGGTAAGGAGTTATATTTAACACAATGATTTCCAACTTGTACCATACAGTTCATTCATTTTGATTTGATGCACTCTAAATAATCCTTTAAAAAGATTTATATATATATCAATATATAAATAACAGCAATTAAAAATATACAGTAGGGGACAAATGTTATTTTGGGAAAACCAAAGAACTTAAAGTTCAATAAGCAAGCCAGATGCCAACTATCTTCTCTCTCTCCTCTTGTTCTTTTTTTCTTTGTCATACTAGTATGGAGTTGTTAAATTCTAGTCACAGAATCCCTATCATGGAGTGTAGCCAAGGCAATACAATGACTTTGAATTCTTTCTGTGCTCTTCTCCAAATAAAAAGGTTATTGGGGATCTCAGTAATGGAATTGTTCAAATAACTTGTTTTCAAGGGAAGAATTGTGATTGGTGTGAAGGGTAGTGTGAAATTTCTATATTCTGTGATGGACAGGAAGCAATTTGTAACTGCTACGTTATTTTTCTGGCTTGTAGACTCTTGAGAAAGCATTTCTCCATCTAATAACTTATCACACCTCAAGTGGCTGGGTTAGAAAGCTGATGGGACTACTGTTGTGCCATCTTGAAATTTTGTACAGTAAGATCTTGGCAGTGACACTGGAGAAGTTTTCAGACAACACTGAAGTTCTGTAAACTTATGTCATTTCTGGTTCATGGGTGAATGGAAAGACACTAGGTTACCTCTTCAAATTGATCAATATCAGTAAAATATTTTAAAAATTATTGATTCATGGAACTTAAGACATTTAAAGTCTTTATGTTCTGGGTTCTGGGTGCTACTAAGTTGTCTGATTGCCAGAGTGGTGAACTAAAGTCTCAATATTGGTTCACTATATTATCATCTTACCAGTATTGTTATGGCTGATTATCGGTTTTCTGTAAGTCTAGTCTTACATCGTAATGGAAATAAGTTTGTACCAATGATCTTCTATTTTATTCTGCCATGTGCAGGAATACAACTAGAACCTGGAAGCTGGTTATCTTTTCTAAGTTGATAAACCATAGCCAATGTTAAGAGTATTTAAAATAGGCATGTACAGATTTGTTACACAGACTGAATTTTGACTCTTGAACCAAGAAACAGAGATACTTGAGCATAAAACTCTATTAAAGTTCCATATAACGTGATGGTGGTGGTAGTGACTATGATAACTAAATTAGATCAAGATCATAGACCAGGCCGGTGCCATGGTTCACTAGGCTAATCCTCTGCCTGCGGCACCAGCACCCCAGGTTCTAGTCCTGGTTGGGGCGATGGATTCTGTCCTGGTTGCTCCTCTTCCAGTCCAGCTCTCCATTGTGGCCTGGCAAGGCAGTGGAGGATGGTCCAAGTGATTGGGCCCTGCACCCGCATGGGAGACCAGGAGGAGGCACCTGGCTCCTGGTTTCGGATCGGTGCAGCCCACCGGCTGTAGCAGCCATTTGGGGGGTGAACCAATGGAAGGAAGACCTTTCTCTCTGTCTCTGTCTCTCACTGTCTAACTCTGCCTGTCCAAAAAAAAAAAAAAAAATCATAGACCAAAGACTATCTACATTCAAAGACTAGAAGTGAAAGTGACCACGTCAGACTCAAATTCTCTCCAAAATACATTTATCAATCTTCACCTTATTTCAAACAAAGAAGTAGAAAACTGTAAGAAGGGCCTATTTAGTTTTTTTTTAAAATCACCTTGATACCTTTAATATATCAATTTAAAGTTTTCAAAATTATTTCATTCCCATTAGCTTGTTTGATCCTTGCAAAACTTTTATTATATAGCAATTACAGATAGCATTGTCTCCATTTCTCAGCTCAAGAAGTGACCACGGCGAGTCTATTGGCCTGTAAGAAACAATGTTAGGCGTACGATTTCTACTCTATTTTCTGCTATGCTAACTAGCTTTCCTTTAAGGAAAAGAAAAATGAATGTCATTATGTATCTTTCCTTATAAGCATCTCAATATTCTTACTTTGTAAGGCATTTGGATTTGCTTAGATTTTTCAGGATCTGTTTTACAGTACAAATTAGTGTTATGAAAAATTGTCCAGTGTAAACTTAGTCTGTAATCCTACTTGTTTTTCATTTAGCATACTCTCATTGTGTGACTGTATACTAGGTATACAAAGGCAGATAAATCTATGACTTGGTCTTCTGTCTACTGAAAATGAGGACTTCAGTAAACAGTCACAATATAGCATGATAAGGACCATAACTGAAAAATGCTGAGTGTCAGAGAGGTACCTAGAAAGGCTCCTTTCTCAGGGCAAGGCAGCATGGGAGTGGAGGTCAAGGATGTTTCATGTAGAAGGTGCTGTCTGAGAGGAATGCTGGGTAGGTGCAAGTTATCCAGAAGACAAGGCCTGGTGTTCCAGGCAGAGGTGTCTGCTTTGCAAATTCCCATGGGTGTGAGGGATCTTCAGAAAGTTCAGGGAAGATGCACATTATGAGAAAGCTGCATGGATTTGAAAATACTTTTGCACCAAAATTAACTTACCTTTTATTTTTACTTTCCATGAACTTTTTGAAGTCCCTGCAATCCAATTCTTTTCATGCTTTGTCTTTCCATGGTGCTCTACACTTTTCTCTTTTTAAATGACAATTTCTTTTTTGAAAACTCTTTAGTAGAGAGCGAGCGAGTGCCAGCCAAAGAGAGGCTGGTGCTGTGGTATAGTAGGCTAAGCCTCTGCCTGTGGCCCCCCGGCATCCCACATGGGCGCTGGTTCCTGTCCTGGCTGCTCCCCTTCTTATCCAGCTCTCTGCTATGATGCTATGGCCTGGGAAAGCAGCAGAAGATGGCCCAAGTGCTTGGGCTCCTTAACCTGTGTAGGAGACCTGGAAGAAGCTCCTGGCTTCTGATTGGCCCAGCTCCTGCCGTTGCAGCCATTTGGGAAGTGAACCAGTGGATGGAAGACCTTTCTTGTTGTCTCTCCCTCTCTCTGTAACCCTACCTCTCAAATCTTTTCTTTTTTAAAGATTTACTTATTTGAAAATTTGTTATGCAGAGAGAGAGAGAGAGAGAGAGAGAGAGAGAGGTCTTCCATGTGCTGATTCACTTCCCAGTTGGCCACAATGGCCAGAACTATGCTGGTCCAGAGCCAAGAGTGAGGAGCTTCCTCCAGGTCTCCCATGCAGGTGCAGGGGCCCAAGTGCTTGCTCCATCTTCTGCTTTCCCAGACCATAGCAGAGAGCTGGATCAGAAGAGGAGCAGCCAGGACTCGAACCAACGCCCATATGGGATGCCTGCACTGCAGGCAGCAGCTTTACTTGCTATACCACAGTGCCGTACCCTCAAATAAATCTTTAAAAAAAAAAAAGTGCAAAGACAGAACGCCCATTAGCTGATTCACTTCCTCAAATGCTCACTATGTTTGGTCAGGGCTGAAGCCAGGAGCCAGAAACTTGATTCAGGTCTGCCATGTGGATGACAGGGACCCACGTGTTTGAGTCATTACCTGCTATTTCCTAGGGTCTGCGTTGGTAGGAAGGTGGAATTGGAAGCTGGAGCCAGGAATTGAATCCAAGCAATGTTAATATGGAACATGGGCGACTTAACTGGCATTTTTACTGTAGGCTAATTGCTTGAACTCTTTCTCACTTTTCCAGACTAAAGGTAGTCAAATACACAAACAAGTCCATGAGTCCAAGTGTCCACACCTTGTGCCTAGGATCTAGTTTTGACTTTCATAGCCTATAATCTTGGTCACCTCACAAATTTGGCTGAAATCTGAAACTGTTGACAATTACTTAAAAGCAGTGATGATTTCCTGGCCCTAGAGGTCTTAGTGGAGAGTAGTGATATGCACATTCAGGTAGGTCACAGTTCTCTTAATTTGGAAACTGCAGTTTTTCACCTGTTACTGTGTAAGAAATGTCAATTAAAATGAAATTGCGGTGTGGGCATTTGGTGTGGAGGTTACATTGTCACTTGGGATGCCAGCATCCCATATCAAAGTCCCTGAGTTCAAATCCTGGCTCCATGTCTGACTCTGGCTTCTTGCTTTAAAAAAATAAAAACAAAAAAGCAAACAAAACAAACAACAAAAAACCACACTGGAAGGCAGGAGGTTCTGATTTATTTTTTTTAAGATTTATTTATTTGAAAGTCAGAGTTACACAGAGAGAAGGAGAGGCAGACAGAGAGAGAGGTCTTCCATCTGATTGTTCACTCCCCAACTGGTTGCAATGGCCGAGCTGCGCCAATCCAAAGCCAGGAGCCAGGAGCTTCTTCCAGGTCTCCCACGTGAGTGCA